CTCTCTCTCTCTCTCTCTCTCTCTCTCTCTCTCTCTCTCTCTCTCTCTCTCTCATGCGCTTACATGTAACCGTCATAGAGAACGCTCGCTGTGCGTTTGTATTTTCAGTCAGCAGTGTTTTCTATGTGTGTTGTCATGTTAAGCACCGCGCCGCTCTGGTTGCTCAAACAACAGACGCAACATAGAAACACAGCTGTACGGGCCGCGTCCCCGCATGCATACAAAAAACTTTTTCACCCACCCTCCACACCCGTTGGGGGCTACGCATCGTGTCTCGCACGGCACAGACTTAATAGCTCGCCACGCTTGGCACGGACAATGCAACCTCTGCCGTGAAAAAAGAGTGAGTGCGCCGTCCCTCTCTCTCTCTCTCTCTCTCTCTCTCTCTCTCTCTCTCTCTCTCTCTCTCTCTCTCTCTCTCTCTCTCTCTCTCTCTCTCTCTCTCTCTCTCTCTCTCTCTCTCTCTCATGCGCTTACATGTAACCGTCATAGAGAACACATCAGAGCCTTCTCCATCACCAACCGTCGCATAGCTCAGCCGAATTGAGCTGAAGGCTTCATGCACTAAGGGGAGTGCCCTCTCCGCAATGGTAGCCAAACTGTCCCCTGCCTCTGCCGAAAGGGGTGGATGGGAGAGCTTTGAAGTCTTCCAAGGAGGCTTTGAAGGAATTGAAGCCTTCGAGGGAAGGATGAAGAAGGGGGAGGATGAAGGAGGGGGGGGCTTCGAAGCCTTCGAAGGGGACATTGACGGCTTTGAAGGCTTCGAAAGGGAGGATGAAGGGGAGAGGCTTCGAAACCTTCGAAACTGGGTTTGGTTAGAAGAGAAGCCACACTTTATGGGGGTTTTTGCGAAGAGAAAAACATGAGAAAAGAAGAGTTGAAGATACAAGACGCAATCAGACACACAAAAAGAAGAAGAATCGACATGAAATCGCTTTTGGTGGTTTCTGCGAGGGAACAACAAATAGAAAAAAGAAAAGAATGAAGGTGAAGGTCGAAGCGGAGCTTCGAAGTCTCTTCGCGTGGAAAAGTCTGAAGAGAAAGAGGGCCTTCAAAGGCTTTCGAAGGCTTCGAAGGGCAGAACGAAGCCCCTTCGCCTTCTTCGAAGGCTTTGGAAGCCCTCTCTCACGTTATTTTTTTCGCAAAAACGACCGTAACTCGATTTCATGTCAAGCCTTCAGAAGTCCCCTTCGTCCTTGCCCTTCGAAGGTCTCGAAGCCTTTGTGCTTGCCTTCGAAGGTTTTTTTTTCTAATCGCGTTTTGTTTCATTAGCTATTTCCATTTTCTTCGCAAAAACCACCATAAAGCGACTTCGCGCGGCTTTTGTTTATCCTGATTGTTTTTTGGTGTGCGTGTGTGTGAGTGAATGCAGAAGCTTTCAGAACTGAAGCTCCCGTCGTAAGAGCCCCCTGATGCTGCCGAGGCTGTATTCCACAGACTGAAGTCATCTTCTGCGGCATCTTTATTGCTGCTGAGCGGATTCCATACCCGTCTCCAGCACGCAGAGCTCATGAACCAACTGGGAACAGCCAAAAAAGTGCTTGCAGTCAAGCGAAAAAGTTCTCGAACAGTGCCTTCAGAAACGAAGATTTCAGAAGAGAAACACTCACAAAAATGGACTTGAACTTTTTCTTCTTACTGGCTTTTGGAACGGAACTTGTCACTTGCATTTTGCTTTTCTCAAATTTTGGATCTCAAGACCCTGAAAGTCAATTTGCGTCTTCCAATTGGAATTCTGCAGCTTGGCATCTTGTTGCTTTTGCTTCAGTTTTTGTTGGACTTTCCTTCTGCCTTGCATTTGGAGTCGGTTTGCCCTGATCATTCGTTTCGAACCAAGTCAAGACCGGTTTGTGACGTGAAGCTTCAGAAGCTGCCAACACGCAAGATCTTGATATCAGCCTCTGCTGGTTCTTTTGGATTTCAGACAGATATGAGACACTTGAGACGTCGTGCTCAATCACAAAAAAAATTCCTGTCTGTATCATCCCTTCGCAGCCTTGAACTGTCAGTCCCGCTGTGTTCAGCTGGCACGATGTGGATTCCTGATGCCACAACGCTTGATTCTGAGCTCTCACAGTGAGTCGTTCATCACCTCCCCTGACAGAACGCCTGCTAAGGTCAATCTGGAGAGGGGAAATCGCTCTCCACTTCAGTGACTCGAGTCTTTGGAGAAGCTGCAGCTAAGGCTTCTGAAAACCACAAGATCCGAGATCTTGATATCCCCATCTGGGAAAGAGAGTGCGTGTGCCTTACAAGATTAATGATTGGAGTGAATATTTGATAAACAGAACGCGTCGAAATACGGGCCTGCGTTTTTTGATTACAAGTCCATACAGCGTATAAGTTGTCTTGACCAGCGTGTCTATGTTATCATGTCTAGTGTGCACTGAAAGCTGCAAATGTTTACGTGCTGTTTACTGGCTATAGGCGGGGGGAGGTCTCAGGGTTCGGGGGGGGGGGGCAAAAAAAAAATATTATTTATTGAATTATATATTATATATATATATCTTTTTTTTTTTTTTTGCCCCCCCCCCCCAACCCTGAGGCCTCCTCCCTCCCTCCACCTCCTTGCACCCCCCCCCAACCCTGAGGCCTCCGCCCTCCCTCCACCTCCTTGCACACTGCCCGCCTGCTCCTTCTTCCTGTAGTTATGTCCTTTGTTTGTTCTTTCCCATCATCCTTCCGGCTGCTGTGTACAGAGGTCTGATGTAGTTTGGAAAGTTTTCTCATTATGTATTATCTACATATTACTGCATTATCGAGATTTTTCTTAGACTCATCAAGTGTTGCTTTTGCTTATGCTCGTTATTCCACATGTGTTGGTATACAAGTTTGTTTCGGCCTGAATTTCGACGCGTTGTAACCTATATAGAACTTGCACTCATAAACATCTCCTTACTAAACTTGTTAGGCGCTGAATCCATAAAGTAATATTCTCACTATCGCTTTTTATAGAACTGACATCTGCAGGTCATGGCCTCAGCATCTTCATCGCGAGCTGCGGCGTCAGTTGGTCTGTGGTAATAGCTAAAGAAAGACCTAAGTAATACAATTAATGAATGGTTTATGCTTGTATCGTCTTCTCATCAATCGTTGTTTACGTGTAGCTGTGTAGTGTATCTCTCTAAGTAGAGAGGAATATGGATTTATATAAACTGTTTCGTAACAAAGGTAAGGAAGCGTTTGTATGTATGCCAAGAATATTGAGATGTTCTTGCTTGTATGTTTTACGACATGATTAGCCATCGTTGGCTCCTCGACTCGAGAAGTGATAGTAGACCTGTGATCTTCCAAGCAATGCCGCGCAAACAGTGTACCGGTTGCCTGAAATGGGGGAAGAATCGATGTCAGTGTGGTGGCAAGACTACTACATTGAAAAAGGCCAAGAAAGATACAGACAACAAGCAGACAGATAAGAACAAGCCGCCAGTATCGTCTTCCTCGCAGATTACCACTACAGTATCGTCTTCCTCGCAGATTACCACTACGAAAGATTCCGACAAGATCGTGGACAAGATAGCTCTCCAGGTCAGTCTCGAGAAATTGAAAATTGAAAGACTGCGCTTGGAAGCAAAGAAGAAGCAGCAGAAGCTTGAGAATAACCAGCACAAGCAAGTGAACAATGCAGACGGTCGTTCCTGTTGGTACAGAACAAGGCCTAACCCAAAAGGGTGGCATCAGAGATCTTGGTGTAAGAACACCAGGAATACGTGGGCGTCTCACGAGGAGTACATGTCTGAACAAAACGATGGCGCCAACTGAGCGCACGGAAGCTAGGACGTCAACGGCGGCGTCCACAAAACAAGCGCGGTGCGAGAGAACGTTATATTTGGAATGTCGTGTGCGCTTCATAATCGTGCATGTCCTGTTCTCGTTGTCTTGCTTTCTGTGTTCGTATATATGTAATAGTGCATGATACTTTGTCCCGGGGACAAGGAATACAGAGAGGCATAAAATCCACGGGAACAACAAAGAACACAAAGTAATGCAGAACACAAGGCACCAAGAGAAAACAGCGAGAACAAAGGAATAAAATGAAATAGGTTATCAAGGGAGCAAGGGGGCAAAGGGACAAGGAGACGGAGAGGGACAAGGGACACAAGGGGAACAAGGGGATAAGGGAGACAGAGACAAGGGGGAGAAAAAGACAAGGGGGACAAGGGGGACAAGGGGACAAGGGGGGCAAGGGGACAAGGGGGACAAGGGGGACAAGGGGGATAAGGGGGACAAGGGGGACAAGGGACAAAGGGAACAAGGGGGACAAGGGGGACAAGGGGGACAGGGGACAAGGGGGACAAGGGGACAAAGGGGACAGGGGGACAAGGGGGACAAGGGGGAGGAGGGGGACAAGGGGGACAATGGGAAGAAAACATACACAAATACAAGGGTACCAAAAAGAAGACATGGAAGGACAATAACAAAATACTTCCTTCTCCAACCACCATCCATCAAAATCTCAACTTACAGCTTCAGGCTACTACGTCAACAAGATGGCCGAGCGTACTGCCGGCGACTCTTCTCCATCTTGTACATGGATCCATGCATGATGCGGCTATATCTTCATAGAAACGTGTCCATGACACAGTGACAGCAATCTCGTAGTCGCTTGGTCTCAATCATCGGCCCTCTGTATTGCCTTCACTGTCCGTCAACGCCATGGCAGGGGATTCTACTCCTGACGACATGGAACTTCAGTTAGAGCACCTCATGAATGCTGAGTACGGGAGTCTACCCGAAAGTCAGGCACAACTAGAACCATCCCAGAAACGGCAACGCCTTCGCGGAAATCAGTTGCAGCTTGTTTGCTTCAAAGAAATCATTGGGGATACCTTACTAGCTTTATACATAAAGAATCGAAAAGTTTGGATTCTTGCCTTTTTCGGGAATTCAACAAACTCAGGTTTCGAGCTTTCTCGCGGTATCATGAAGAAAATCCTCCTCCTGTACCACCTGTCGTTCCAGTGCAACCACCAGCACCCGATCGCCCTTTCATATGCAAAATGACTCAGTATAACACGTGGTTTCAGCAGACTTGTGGTCATCTCGATCCTAGGACTCGAGCAGTGATCGTGCTTGGAAAGTTCGTCTGCGACTTGGACTGTGCCAACTACATGCTCTCGAACAACCAGAAACTCTTGATCGCGATGCTGTTGGATGGGGAAAAATGGCGCGCTCACAAGAAGCAAATCTTTCATTATGACGACGGAGCATGGGTCATGGAGCCAATCCTGGTCATCAAAGCTTGGGAACATCTACTTGCTGTGGAGGGGCTCTTCATTCAGTTAGCTTTGAACTTGGAAGAATCACAGGAAGGTGTCACATGGACGTGGGCGAGTGCAGGGACCCAGATCATGGCAATTATTGAGCTTTTCCTCCAAGCGGGTACCGACTTGATTAGCCACTTGACGAAGGTTGCCAAGGACAACAGTGACCACCTCAGAGCTTCTACATCTAATAAAACCTGGCATGCTTCCTGGCCACGACGGTGTGCGGACATGCTTGCCCAGCTTCGCAAAGCCTGGGAAGATGAGAGACCTCTCACGGTATTGTCTAAGTTGTTCTTGACCGAATGGGACACGCCTATGCCGTCATCTCACGGTGTTTGCTTCGATAATGTCTACCTAGATGATGCATGGACAGAAGTACCCAAGTCTCCAGAGGCGAATTGCTACTTGAAAATCAATTACAAGTTCCACTATGAGCTGTTCCACACGGACCTGGACATCAAAGCCACCAGGGAGAAGCTTCGTATTTTCATTGAGTCTGTCTATTACAACAACGAGCATTTGTTCCAGCTTAAGTTATGCTTCATGCACGCCGCCTTCCTCGGTAAATGCACCGCCAAGATGATCTTCGAGATCGGCAAGGGTGGCGATGGAAAGGGCATGGAAGCAATCTTAGACCGGTCGTTGTTTGGTAGTGTTGCGAGTGCGACTCTCGACTGCGGCGTTTTCCTTGACAGAATGGAATTCCGCAAATCCGCAGAGTTGGCATGGAATAAGGCCAACATTCGTATTCAGGAAATGGAGAACCATGGCCACTTCATTGCAGACGTCTGGAAACGGTTCGTCGTGGATGAAGAAATTGACTGTCGAGTCAATTATGGTTTCACGTCAAAAAGATGTTTTGGGGCCGCGCTCAAAGTGCAGGAGTTGAACTTTGAGAACATTCCAGTCATCGAAGAAAGTCGTGACCGAAACAAGTCGTGCGAACAGCTACGACGCAGAGTGGTGTGCTTCATGATGGGGAAGGCTAGTTTCACCACCAAGGCTGAGGAGGTGAACCACGATCAAGGAATCTTTCGGTACATTCCTCAGGATGAGCTCGTGACCTTTCTATCTCATCCCGTTACAGCCGCTGTTTACCTTCGCGATTGGTGCATCCCCTTCTTCCGTGACAACTCCATCCAGGACTGTCTCAACATGATCAATGATCTGGCCTCTGTTCATCCCGATGTAGAGCGGGATACTCAATGGCTGGCCTTGTGTTTGTCGGGTAGTTCTGCACCCCCGCCTGGCGGTGTTGTGGATCTTGTCTCAGATGCGAATGTTCGCGTGGTAGACGTTCATGCCGACACTCCTTGGAAGAGCATCATCAAAGAGTACCTCATTCAGAAAGTGGATGCATTGCCAGGCCATGCCGCTTCATCGAAAGGAAAACGGACCAAAATGTCTTATTTCACTGAGGCTGTGGATAACGCGACGATCCGCTTGTTCAAGCAGGTTGAGTCCAACTCATTCCATAAACTCCTCGTCCAGTGGCCGCGTCTCCTTTGCATTATGGAAGAACTTGGAGGCACTCCGATCTTCGGCGACTGGTCTATGTGGTCTTGTCCATTCGACCTTCTGCAGCATCAAGAGAAATGGGACGGGGCAGCCTTTGAACAGGATCGCCGGCTTCTCATGAACCTGCGAACTTCGCCAATGGCAGATCCTGGCGTTTGGCGACCAACTGTTAGCTCCTTACAAGAACGCGTGGATTGGGCTTCCCTAGAGTCCTACTTGAACCTCGGCACAGATCGGCGCATGGAGATTCTCGGAAAGTACGTGGCAAGGCATCAGGTGTCCGGCATCAAGGATTCCCACTTCTCGACAGCGGTAATGGAGTACTACAAGCTTCCTCACTATGGAAGACTTATGGTTCGGGGTCCAGGCGGCCAGAAGCTGACCAAGGAGGCGCGACACGCAGCTTTCGGCAGTCACTGTGCAGAGATAGATGCTCCTTGTTGTCACCCTCGCTTGCTCGTTCTCAAACTGAAGACTTGGTATCTATGGGACGCCGACAAGTTCCCGATGCTGAAGATTTTCGTGGAACATTATCAGGCGTGGCGCGCATGCCTTGCTAAGTACATGAATGTCGATGTCGATGTAGCCAAGACAGAGTTGACTAGGCTCTTCTATGGAGGCAAGCCCACAGTTGAACTTCCCTTTTTGTTGAAGCTTGCAGATGAGATACAGCTCGCCGCCAAGACTTTACTCTCTCACGCTGGCGCGACGGAACTCAGTGAGCTTTTTTCGGATCGCCGCAACCCTGAGTTCAGCCGCTTGTCCGCCTTGATGTCAGGCGAAGAGGCCATGCTGCTGGACAAAGTCGGTACTGTTGTGGGTGACCGCATGAACATGCTTCTCTTCGACGGTGCTTACATCACGTGTGATAATCTGGAAGCGGAGACCTTGATCCTAGAGGCTTGCCAGCTTTGTGCAGACACAGCCATTCCCTTAACAGTGAGGTCATGGCCTACCCAGTTGCCTTTGACATTGCCTCGTCGTGCACTTCGGGACAATTTGAGTGTGGTCAAGCCTGATGCCCAGATAATCTTGAACTACAAAAATTGCTTGATCAACACCATAGCCACACTATGCCCTGCGTGTGATGTGGGTGCATTTTCGGATCAGGAAGAGCCATTGTCAGCGAGAATGTTCAATGCGACCCGTCTGTTCGACTCCCAGCGCCCTGTCAGCGAAGGATACCGTTTGGTTCACATTTGCAAGGAAGACATCCTTACTCCGTCAGACTCTTCACTTGTGTGGTTTGGACATCATCCTCTTCAAGAGGGGCATGGTCACTGGTTTGGCGCCACTCAACATGAGAACGTTGTCACTGTGATTGACACAACTGCAGGCCGCAGTTTTTTTGGAATTGGACACTGCGGCTTGGCAGTCTCTTGTAGAATGTGACACCATGACCACATGGTTTAGTTTGAAGATAGTTCCACATGATTCTCCGGAAGAAGTCGGTCCTGCCTATGAGCTCCTGGGATCCTCTATGGCCACTTCCACGGATTTCCTCGAAATCACTACGCCTTTGACATCCTGTGCTGAATGTGGCGCTCCTCTTGCCCGACGTGACTGTGTATCCGCACGACTCTACACATTAGGCGGCATGAAAGAAGTCACATGCGTGTCCAAGCGCTGCAGTTCCAAATCCTGCAGAATCACACACCATTACAACTTTCGGAGCGTGGAGACTCACAAATACCACACTTTGGACTTGGAAGATATGGAGTACATCTTCATCAACAGCAAAGTCGGCTTCTCCATCGACTTCCTGGACTATCATGCAGCACTACAGTTTCGAGGACCTCTGAGCAATAACGCGATCGAGTATGCTCAGTCCGAGACATTGTGGGAAGATTCTCAACAGCACTACCGGTGGCACAGAGAATATGCCGATGCTCAACTTTATTATATGGTGATCCAGGAGGCTTCGAGTATGTGGTCCTCCCTGCAAAAGGAGCACTTTCTCAAGAAATTGAGAACAAATGACTTGCAAAACCCCTTGACCAAAGAGTTCCTACTCTCATACAGGTCTTGGTGGCATGAAGTCGTTCTGAGCAAAAGGGAATGGCAGCGAGTTCAGGAAATCGTGATCGATGGCCATCAGAAAGTTGCAGCGAAATGCATTGGCAATCCTCCTGCACATGCCGGTAGACCGCGTAAGGATCGAGATCCGCCAAAGCGTCAAAATGGATGGTTCATGGCCGTGGATCCCAAGAGCGGTCTCGTCTTGGCAGTTACGAATATGGAAAATCCAGAGAACAATGCGGTGGCTAAGAAGATCCTGATTCACGCTGTTTCCAAAGGACACCAGATCAACTGCATCGTCTACGACCGCATGTGTGCATGCTATCAGCAGTTTGGTCGCGAGGCCGTTATGAAGCAGATCAAATTCTGGTGCGTTGATCGTTTCCATGCACAAGCCCACGCACCAGGTTGCGCTTGTTCTCCACTGGTCCATAAACGGCTTGATCGTCGCCTTGAGAACGTCAACACGTCCGCCGCCGAACAAACTTTTGCATGGTTCCGAAACTATGCTTCGGTACTCAACACCAAGTCAACGGAGTTTCACATCTTCCACGTGCTTGTCTATGTCAAGAGGCACAACGATTTGATCCGTCGCAACTACAAGAAGCATTTGAATGCATACAGCGCCATGAAAAAGGTAGCACGGGTCAACCGCGTCCTCCGCAAGCCTGCACGTTTGCCGTCGCCCCAGCGCTTCCTTCCGCACGACCATCAAGTCCAAAAAGAATGTCATGAAGGTCCACCTGAAAAGCAAGGCGATGAAGAAGTGAAACAGCACCAACGATAGAGACGCAATAGCAAGCGATTTGTTAGGGAATCCTTGCGCAGGGACATGCAAAGTTATCGATAGAACATACCATCATAACATGTTGTTGTATGTCGCCAACATGCGGGAGTCATGGCCTGTGCAAGAAGACACATGCACGAACTGTGCATTGTGTGCGTGACTATGCTGGCCAGGAGTTGTTCTCACAACCCCAGCCCCAATTAGAAGAAATAGCTGCGAGACTTGCACCATGTCAACCTGCAAGACACACACTGGGTATGTAGTATATTGCTACAACTGAGGTGTTGGCCTCAGCTCCCGTCGAGCTCGATCGTCAGTTGATCAGTGATTGAATTGTGGGAGATGCCTTCTATGAAGTATTGTAAATCAAGCTGTTTTACTCGAAAAACACGGGCCCGTATTCCGACGCACCCTCCAGAACAAAGATTTCTCCTTTCCACATTCGAGATAAGAGCTTGCTTTTATTACGAAATTTTCTGCCGGTCTTGCGAGTGATAAGTCTTTATGCTCATTTACGCCGACGACCTACATGTGCTCAGTGGGGGCGCCGACCGCTGGCTCAATCTCTGGATGTCTCTCGCCCTTCTCTGCCTTCAGGGGACTCCTTTTCAGAGCGCAAGTGGCGTGGGGGCCTGCAGCTTGATTGGGTCGGGAATTGGATCGATTACAGTCGCTTCAAACTTAGGATTTCGGAGAAGAGGTGCCGATGGATCATTAGCGGCATCGAATCCATGGAAGGGAATGGATGGCTTGTTGATGTGAGGCGCTTTCACGAGCTTCACGGGAGGTTCAGTTTCATGTCCCAGGTTTTAGTTTGGATGAGGCCCGTCTTGGCTCCGGATTACGCTTGGCTAGCTGCTGTGCGGAAAGGTGCGGTCCTCGCACTCTCCAATCTCATCCGATGTGTTTTGTGGTTTATTGCAGATCGCTTGAGGAACGGGGCTCGTACTTACGAGTCGGGCCGTCTTGAGAAGGACCGTGGTGAGCTTTTCCGCACGGATGCAGCTTGCAATGATTCTTCGATTGTTCTGGGCGGATGGTTTCTGCACAAAGGGCCGGATCCCAAGAAGGCCCCATGGTTTCAGATCACTTTGAGCAGAGACGATGCTTCTTGGTCGTTCAAGAAGGACTTGGGCAGTTCGTGGGCGAGCACTTCCGCTGAGGTTCTCGCTTCACTGGCGGCGCTACACTTGTTGAGACGTGGCTTCAAAGAGCTTTGGTCTGTCCCAGGGCACTTCCGGGCCAGTTTCTTTGGTGGGACAGATAATAAATCCGCTGAGGCACTGTCTTGCAAACTGCTTACGACGCGAGCACCGCTCATGTTCGTCGTGATGGAGTTTGTCACCTTTTGTGACGCTCTTGGTTTCAGGTGCAACCTCAGCTGGAGACCCAGGGACTCCAATCAGGAAGCCAGTCGCATCACCAAACATGTTTTCGAAGACTTCGATGAAAACTTGAGATTACCTTTCAGCTGGTCAGACATGACCTTGTCAGTTCTGCCGTCTCTCTTGAGATTCGCAAGCTTTCAGTCTGAGCTCGACACCATCAAGGCTTCAGAAGATGGAACAAATTCAGCTCCTCGAATAAGGTTCGAGAAGAGTCAGTGGGGATGAGGGACCGGAGATGCCCTCGTCTGCGAAAGGGGGGCAAATCCCTCTCGGCATCTCCTGTATGCAGGAGGTTTCATATGCACTGTGTGATCTCGGGCTATGCGGACCAAAACGAAGTCTTCTTGCGCGTACTGCTGTCGTTCCCCTTCCTTAAACCCTTCCCTTAAACCCTCCGGGTTTTAAGAAGGTTCGAGCCTCCTAGGTACAAGCCTCGTTTGGGTAGCGAAGCGGACCAAACAGTTTGTTCCAAGGAGGCCCGGCGGGAGGGGGACAATGGGGAGCTTGCGACCACTATCAGTTCTGTACGCCTCAGCCAGTGTGCTTCGATGCAGTTGCTTAATTTCAGTCATGTCAGTCATGTCAGTCATGTCAGTTGCTTGCAGTTGTCAGTTTCCTTTGCATACGAAGCATTTCAGTTTTCCCTTTTGCGAAACATTTATGTGAGATTGATTTTAAAGAAGTTTTTCTACGAACACTCCTCCTCAAAGGAGGTACTTTCCAACTCTTTGATTTATCATCTCAGACATCGGTGATTTCACGTTATTTGAGTTGCGGGCGACTCGCCCCTTTTCAGTTCAATGATATATCTTATGCCGATACATTATGGATCAACCGGAAGGGGACTCTTAGTCCTTTTAGTGTCCCACCCGGCCCACCCTGTTTTTCGCTACTCATACGGTCTGTTTATAACAGCCCAATCTGTATGTCCGGGGGCAAATCCCTCTCGGCATCTCCTGTATGCAGGAGGTTTCATACGCACTGTGTGATCTCGGGCTGTTCGGACCTCCAAGATTTGAAGAGTCTGCGCCATCGCCCTCAGATAGAAAGGTTGATGAGGAGTCAGCTCCCTTGCACGCAAGGGATCCGGCAGCATGTTGAACCAGTCCTCACGAAGTTTATCCAGCGCCTCAGGAGCGAACAAGGGACCATCCCAATGCCCCGTCGCCAGACGAAAACGCCTTTGCCAAATCTGGCACATTCTCAAGAACAAACTTTCGGACACGATCCTTAAGCTGTTGTGCAAAGGCAGTAGCATCAGGACCCATGCGACGTCCCCGGCAGAGAGGTTTCCAGCGCCCCGGCGAGCATCGACCGAAGCCATCCACAAACTCGTCAGTTGCCCCGGCGAACTCGCCCACCAAAGGCGGTCCCTCACAGCCAGACTTCGGCTCGCTATATACGGAAGGTCCTCGACCTCCTTCTCATCGTCGCCGGTTCCTCCAGCGGCCGTGGTCTCGTGGCGACCACGTTTTCGCTTTCCTGGCAGATCGAATCCCAAGTCAAGCAAAGCATCCCGGTCCGGTTCCCCGAGCTGTCCATCGTTTGCAATGGTGTACCCGGCAAGGGCCAAGCGACATCCTTTTTTCGTGGAATGCCAGACATGTGGGTCGAGGGCCGGGGGTGATCTTGCCATCATCCCAGGCCAGGATGTGACCCGAAAGCCAGGAACCATTAATGAAACGACGGACCGAACCGCACTCCGACTGAACCCAAAGATCACCACCCGAAAACCCTGAACAGGCCAGAAGCAGATTTTCAAAAGGTCCGTTCGTGGTGCCCCGATGCGGCGGTTGTTTAAGATCACGAAAGAATGCTAAAGAAGTAAAGGATCGGCCAGGGAAGCCACACGAGAGCAGCTTGGCCAAAAGCTCTGAAGACAAAGGAAAGTTCCTCGTGTTGCGCCTGATGCCAACCTTGTCCGAATGAACAAAGGCTCCTGCAGTGAAAGATCGCTGACCCTCGATCCTCTTAGCGGTTTGTCGAACTCTGTCTTCATCCGGAAGTAGCTCAGAGATGCGAAGAAGTTGCTCACGAGAAATTGTCCCGTTCCTCAAACATTCTGCAGCAAGTCGCTCAGCCGAGGAAGCATCCGAACCAGCCTCAATTTCCCTCGCCGGAAACTGAAAACCTGATTCCAGCGCCTGTGCAGAAGAAGAGGGAGCGAGTGTTCCCCCCCCCGATACAGGAGGAGGTTTCATACGCACTGTGTGATCTCGGGCTGTGCGCACCAAAACGAAGTCTTCTTGCGCGTACTGCTGTCGTTCCCCTTCCTTAAACCCTTCCCTTAAACCCTCCGGGTTTTCAGAAGGTTCAAGCCTCCTTAGTACAAGCGAACTTTGACCCTGCGCACTTGCCCATGGGATCGCTTGCCGGACCATGGAGCAATGTGACTATGTTACGTTCCGCCAACGCAACTTTGGCTCAAGAAACTGATGCCACAAGCTCACTATAGCTTGTAGTCGTTCGTGTACCCAAGAGGAACAGAGCCATCCCGTGCATAGACGACTCGTCACGCCTCTCGAACGAGAAAACCAGCGAGTACCGAGTCTGCCTGCCAGGGATTAGGATCTGAAGTGTGGGAAGCGTGGAGAGGACGTGTCAAGACTGTTGAGGGCAACCAATCATTCATTAGCTCGGCGGGGTGAGCGAACAAGGACAACATCAACATCAAATCCCCACGCATCAGTAGTTTCCGTTTGTTTTCCGCTATTTTCATTAACATTTCATTGAGCTAGTGGAAAACGAGCGGAAACCATTGGTTTTCATAGGTTTGCCATTGTTTTTTATGTTTTCATTGTGTTTTCATTATTTTCCATTATCTTAATAGAAAAAATTAATAAAAAGTTTAATGAAAATCACACAAAAACTAGCGGAACGTATTGATTTTCACTTTTATTTGCATTATTTTCCTTATGTTTCATCAATTTCTTTTGCTGCACGCACTAATTTTTCCATTGTTTTTTAACGGAACATGATGAAAAGTTGTGACGGTAGTGACACATAGTAAGAACTTCATGAATGAAAACAGTGAAAAATGAACCAGATCACTGTAAAATCACTCATCACGAATGAGTTCAGAAATCAGATCACTATTAAATCACTAATTTAGTGGTTCGATAAATCCAATCACTAATCTACTCGCAAATCAAATCATTATTAAATCATTAATTTAGTGATTCGATAAATCCAAATCGCTAATTAATTCACAAATCAGATCATTAGTTAATCACCAAAAAACGATTTAAGGATTTCCAATGCTTGGCAGCCCCCGCCAACCTTAATGCTAGTGCATGGACTACAAGCCTGTCTGATGGATCTGTGCCGGCTTGGTGACGCGTCGTTTGTGTTTTGCGCTGGCGCTGGCATTTCACTAGCTGGCATTTGGCTTTATGGCGGTTTGCGATGTTCCTCAAAACGACGGGTTTGATGCGGACTTTGGTGGAGACAACAGTGCGGCGTGATCAGCTGCGAGCTGTGCATGCAGCAGATCCACAGTGACGCACAGCATCCGTTGATGTGTCACTTGCCGACTTCAGTCGCGATAGCAGTCAAGCTTGGCTGCAAAGTACGCAGCAGATCCGCGCTTCTGCCGGTGCATGATGGACTGCAAGCCTGTCTGACGAATCTGCGCCGACTTGGTGGCGACAGCAGGTTTGTGCAGCCTCAGCCGCACCAGCGGCAACAGATCAGGCTTGTGATTGTTGCATTACAGCTACATCAGCTGCATCCAAGTTGATGGTTCAGTCGTCACCTGCCAGCTGCGCAATGTAGGATCAACTGCGAACTGTGCAGCAGATTCATGCTCTTGTAGTCAGTGCAGCGCGGTTTCTGCAAGTTTTTTTTGATGGATCTGTGGACACGTGGGTTGCTCGGCTGCAATCATGGCTGATGGATCTGTGATCACGTGGCTAACAACCTTTTGTACTGCAACTGCCTGAAGCAGGCCTGTGCTGTGCAGAGCAACACGGCTCTACCCAGCTCGGGTTCCTTGTTGTCCTGCAAAAGGAGCATCATTAGCTTCAATGTGTAGCTGATGCAGGCTTCTGGCGCACTTGCTGCCTTCATCTTTTGTGATGTGTGCTCGCTTGGGGCAGTGCTGACATTGTGCTGACAACGGCAGCATCTCATCAACCTATTGCCGCAATCCTGGCCGATGGGTCAGGTCGCATGTGGTGAGGCCGGCTTCGGCGGCGACAGTATTAGTGCAGTACAAGGTCAGTTGCGAGAAGGGCAGCAGATCCAGGCTCTTGTGGTCCAGTTCCGGAAAAATCCGAAGGAAATAAAAAACTGTGGTGGAACGTTTTCATTCCCGTCATGGACAATGGGCATGCAGACTTGGACTGACGTCATCGCAAATGCTTTTTGGGAAAGACTGACTGACGGAAGGATTGACTGCATGCACACCGAACAAACCAACGAAGAAGGAACAAAGGAATGATCCACTAGAGAGCGACTTGATCTTGTCAGTTGTCCGAGAAACGATCAGTGTGCATACCGGACATCGGTTCCATGCGAAGGGTGCGTACATGAGTAAACTGACTTTGCAATATGGCCGTGGGGCCTTGCCCCGATATCCCGAACATTCTGCTACCTCTTACCCCTAGCCTCGGAATTACTCGACATGCAAGCATTGACAAATTGAAAGCCTTGACCGTTGCATGAAGCACATGGCGTGGTATTGCCCGCATGCGAAGCTGCTAGACAAAGACCAACCACCCCAAAGCCAACGAGATTTTTCCGCCTGACGTGGGTTCCATGGCACTCCTACGCTTGCTTGTCTGGCTGCCCCTGGCGGCGTTGTCGCAGCCACCTGGTCCTGGCCCCCGATGTTTCGAACCCTCGCGACCTGCGTGCCAGAGCGTCGACTCACCGGAGGCAGGTGTGGGACGGGTTTCGGTATCGTCATTGCGTCAGCACGTTCGTTTCATGTAATGAATCTTGACAGTGGCATCCAGGGGTTTTCAGGCCGCGTGGTTTGTGTTTGCAGGCTGCAAAGCCGACTTTGCGCAAAGCACCACCCAGCCATCATGGTGAATTACCTGTCTTCAAATACAAGGGCGATGGCTAGGCTGATGACTAGGCCCAATTGATTGGTTGCCTTGCGTGACACGGCTACACGGGTCTCTGCTCTATTGGGTCCTTTCAGCCCCTCTAGATCGTTGAGAGCTTATGCTGAGTCCGCGGGTGGCGGCACTTCAGGTCCTTCTGCGCAACAGCTCGGGATTGTGCCCAGAGAGGGTGTGGCCCCAGAATTACTGGGGCTCCTACTGGCGGCTTGCCTTGAGGATTTCATGCACACTTGGAAGTGCCACTATGGAACCAACGTTTCTTGGTTTCAGACTGCCCCTTGACAGGATAACGGTGCATGACATGGCAGGAACCCACTCAATCTTGGCCGTGTGCAAGGATTCTTTCTAGATTGAAGAGTCTTACGTTTTGTTCTTGTGTATCTGGAGTTAAAACATCCCGCGCGCAACTCTCGCCCCTCCCCGAACTCGTTGCAAGTTCCACTCCGTGTCAGTCTCCCGGTTATCGGAACTGAGCACTATCGTGGTGACTTTGCTGTAGGACTACGTGTTTAGGCGTCATTTTTCCGGACCTGCAATGCTTCGGAGCCAAGGGCGAACTACACGCAGCTTGACCAGCCATCGCCCTGTATCGTCCCTTTGGAGGTTGGGCTTAGGGAGCTCTTGTTGTTTCCTTAAATCGCTTCGGGCCTCCGATCTGGGCTCCAAAACTTCAAGAGCTGACAGGTCCGGGTGGGCCTTACGATGTCCTTGTGCCTCGGCTGAGTACGGAAGGGCTTGGAGTTGTGTGGAAGGCCGTGGTTTGTCGAGCGTGCCTTAGCTCTGTGGGTCTGAGGTCTGGTCCTCTGTTTGAGCCGGCCTCTGCTGCAAAGCTTCTCCAGATGCTGGTGAACATGAGCTCCAGCTACTACAGCCCGGGACAGTATTGCAGCTTGGCATTTAGCTGCAAGAGCTTCTCTTTCGCCAAGTGCAACCTTGTAGAGTAGTCTAGATGAGAGTGTACTTGTGGGCCCAGACAGAGGCAGTTTCTGACTAAACTAGAGTGCTTGGAGCAAGAACGAACCAGAGCTACACATGAGCTAACCCTGAAGACCCTCGCGGATGGTGGCCGCGATCCTCGTCACAGCTGTCTTCTTTGGGGCCTAGTATCTTCCTCGTAAAAGCTCAACTGCGGCAGGGATCAGGCGAGGCCACGATCCATCGTGACAGGGCGGGGCACCGCCATGGAACGGCAATTCGAATAATCTGTGGATTCTTGAGAGTGACATCTGCAGACCTGATGCAACACGGCCCTCGATCCGAGGTTGCACAGCAGGGCCCTAGGCCCTAGCCGAGCCCACCATGGACCAGCCACGCTTAAAAACCAGGCAAAGCATGATGGCATGAAAAAGAGCTGCAGAAACGAAGACGGGTTCCAAGAACTCGTCTCAGGAGCAGCAAAGCAACACACGATCACGATCCACCATGGAATTAAGCCACCTCATTTGTGAAGGAGTGGTCACTGGTATCAGATACAACTGGTAATAACAAAGCCTGGTCTAACTCATCGAGAAAGTCCGGTCTAACTCATGAAGAAAGTCCTGGCATGCAGAACAAAACCGGGTGCACTAAAGTCCATCCCCTTGCCCCCCAAACCGACAACTTTCACAAGCATCGTTGACCCCGCATGCCCGATCAACAGCTTGGAAATGTGGTCATCGCTGGTTGATGACCGCACCAGAGGAGGGAGACGGCTGGGCCATCATGCAGGGCACCAAGTTTCGCTAGATAAGTACCATCCTGTGCGGAGAAGCATCCTTGATCCAGAGTAAGGTATCTCCTTCTGTGTCCTAGACGATGGGAGTTCGCCACGGCGTGTGGCGCAGCTTTACCGCTCCTTTGCCGGGGAGGCCGTTTTCATGCAGAGGACAGAGAGAGAGAGAGAGAGATCGACCCAAACAGGACTGCAGTGATGTATGTTTTCGCGAACCCGGGGGATCATATGGTGTTACCCATCTTCTCGAACATTATGTTACATCTACGTTACACCAAAAAGGATGATCAACCAGGGGAAAAGAAAACAAAACACTTTCACACTCCTCCAAAGTCCCCACATAATATGGGGGGGGCCCTAGTGGCCGGGGGGTCTAACCAACCCCTCATGCCCGGCGGAAGAAGAGAGTGAGAGAGAGCAGTGTTGGCCGGGGGGCTTCGCACGCTCCCCACGCCCTGCTGAAGAAGAGCAGTGTATGAACATTGCATAGCATTTTCAAGTCGCGCGGCAAGCTTCCATAAGTTCTGTGGCCTTTCAGAGCCAGGAGTTGCCTACTCGGCGGGTCCGTTAGGCGAGCCATAACGAGAAGCATAGCCTGCACTCTGAAGATCCAAAACAGGCGAAGGGTCGACCGGGCGCGAGAACAAAGCTTTTGGCTTTAAACTGACCCCTCCCGTCCAGTTCTGCTAGATCCGGCAGGCTGGTGAAGCGCATGAGGTCGACTTCCTCCTTGGGCCTGCCGCTGTTTCCGTTCATTCATTCGATTTGCGAAAGCAAGAGAAGAGAAGGGGAGTGATACACACACACACATATACATATACATATATATATATATATCTCAAGGATTGCTGGGACTCAGGGAACACGTTGGTTGCGTCGAGATTTGGTCCTGGGCAAGATCGTGCCTGGCAAGATGCATAGTGAAAGTGCCTCTAGCGATCCTGCCAAAGCCATACTTTCCATCGGGTGGACGTTTGTTGTTTGGCACTCATCCGAGGCCACCTTCGGCTTTCGCAGCATTGCGGCCCAGGCAACGTGTCGCTCCTGTGGGTTTCTATGGCATCCAGTGTCCTGTTGAGGCAAGTTTCAGCGATGGAAGATTAGTGATGTGCTGTAGCTGCTTTAGACCAACACCACGAAACGCCTGCATACAGCATTAGAGTTTCAGCCACAGTACTGTTTTTTCGATGGCAGGAATTGCGTCAACTCCCGCTACCACTGCCACTGCCTCTCTTTTTACCCTGGCGCTGCTGTTGCTTCCGCTAAGACTGCTTCTAATTCTGCTGCTCCTGCTGCTGGTGCTGCTGCTGCTGCGGCTACGGCTACAGCTACGGCTACAGCTACGGCTACGGCTACGGCTGCTGCTACTGCTACTGCTACTCCCACTACTACTACTACTACTGCTACTACTGCTACTACTACTACTAGTACTACTACTACTACTACTGCTACTACTGCTACTACTACTACTACGACGACGACTACTACTACTACTACCACCACTACAACAAAAAACTACTACTACTACTACTACGACGACGACTACTACTACCTCTACTACTTCTACTACTACTACGACTACTACTACTACTACTACTACTACTACTACTACTACTACTACTACTACTAGTAGCACTTTAATACTACTACTACTACTACAACTACTACTCCTCCTCCTCCTGCTACTACTACTACTACTACTACTGCTACTACTGCTACTACTGCTACTACTGCTACTCCTACTCCTCCTCCTCCTACTACTACTACTACTACCACTATTACTACTAGTTCTGCTGCTACTACTACTACTACTACTGCTACTGCTACTGCTACTACTACTACTACTACTACTACTACTACTACTACTAATGCTACTGCCACTAAGTTACTATTACTGAGGTTCTACTACTACTACTACTACTACTACTACTACTACTACTACTACTGCTCCTACTCCTGCTCCTGCTCCTGCTCCTGCTCCTGCTCCTGCTCCTGCTCCTGCTCCTGCTCCTGCTCCTGCTCCTGCTCCTGCTCCTGCTGCTGCGACCACGACCGTTAAGACAACGACTACCGCGACCACGAACACGACCATGACGACGACCACGACCCATCTGCTTTTATCACCTGGTCAGGTAGCGCAAGAGTCTCAGAAGCCTCTTCTGCTGTGGTCCACCACCGCGACACTGGGCCAGAAAGCCCCTTGGGCGTGGATGCAAATTGGGTGTGGCTGAGCTCCAATCCTCCCTTAACTTCTAAACGTGCATTTGGGGTTGTGCCTTTGCTTGTGCAAGGCAGGCCAGCCCCTCTGATGCACCAACTTCACAGAGCACAATTGTTGGGCAAATTGAAACTCTGCGTTTCTTGCTCTCCGTTTCTTGCCACCACAGTGTCACCATAAGCCGTAAGCGAGTGTTGGCTGCATGGGGATGCTTGGGACCTCCCTAAGTCTCCAGGAAGGGCAACCGTGGCAAGGGGCATCAGTATGCAACAATCATACACCGTCCAGGTGGTGAGCCAGGCACAGCAGCTGACCTCGACAGAGGCTATCAGCGAGGCGGAGACAGTTTGCTGTCCCTTCCCGTCTCATCGCATGTTCAGATTCCTTGAAGTTTTCATGCAGTAATTGCTGGACGGAGCTCCTAAGCGCTTGTCGCACATTTGAGCACCTGAACCCGAAGCTGCTGACAGTGGCGTTGGGAAAGGTTCGAAACCTCCGGCAGATCTGGCGTGACGGCGGGCTTAGCCAGGATGTGCATCGGATGCAATGGTTGAGAGAGCTACTGGAATGTTGCCGTACGGTACAGTCCTATCGCGTGTAGGTTCCTTACTCTGCCAGTGTCGGTGTGCAGAGTAGCGTGTCAGATGTAGTGCGTGCCGCGTAACCGCACATGTGTCATGCTTTCGTATGCCAGGAGCTGCCTGCTCCCGCATAATCGCGGCTTGAATCCAGAGAGCGGCTGAGACTTTCAATCCAGAGCCCAGAGTTGGCTGGAATCAGAACTCGCGGCTTCGTGGTTCTCTCATGCAAGGTGCCACCGGAGTGCGGCGAGTTTTGCGAGGTGCTGGAAGGCTCACCCTTCAGTGGCGCGGGTGCAAAGTCCGGATGAATAGCTGAAGGCACAACGGTAAACTAAACCTTGACTTGGAACCTAGATCTTCAGAAGAACGTGTCGTACGCTTAGTCAAGAATGATCCTCGAGATGTTTGCCCGAAGCATGTTGACGAGGCTGGCCAGCAAAGTCAGTTTCTTTTGCTATGATACTATCTTGTCTTCTGTTGCTAACCAATCCGCAGACGGTGTGTTGGATTCGGACTGTGGCGTGCGAGGGGATCAGCCTACACAAGGACATACACAACAACTCGCAGATCAGTAGCTCCTCATTTCACCGAGAGCAGCTCTTGAAGAGCAGTCGCTGCGAACTATGCTGAGGTGTCGGCGAGACCTGTGCGCAGCTGACGCCTCCCGCAGGGCGCGAGCTGCGGCCTTTAGCGCTCTCTGGCGTAGAAATTCCTCTGTTAGGCTTCCTTAGACTCCTAGACTCTAGATCGTTCTTGGCTTCCCTTCCTTCCAGAAGGCTTGGGAACGGCTGGGTAATCCTTGGGCCCTCCTGCGAGGAAGTACCTCTCCTGCGAGGGACCCTGCGACACCGTGACCGACCTCGTGCCTCGGGCTGCCATAAAGTCTGGAGAGCTTTTGCCTTCTGCTCGGTACTTGGTTCCATTCCTCATCGCTGAGCTTCTGGGGTTTGAGCAGATACCGAGGACTACTGCACGCGCAATGTCACCACACTGTCCGTGCAGGGCACCTGGGATCCAGCTGGGGCACTGCTGCGTCTGGGCCGGAAAAAGTCGTCAGGCTTTTCACGGGCTTCAGGAAGATGTAAGGCAGAGGATCAAGACAAGGGCTTCGGGCAAGTAGCTGAGACGAGAGGGCCTTGGCAAGTTGAGACCGCCAAGAAGCAGTGAAGCGCCTCGAAACCCTGCACAATCTCTCTCTCTACGCAAAGATTCACCAAAATCGCTGCCTCTCACCCCCTGCATCTGCAAAGCACTCGGAGGCACGGTGGCTGGCAGGCAGGCTGTCTGCAGGGAGTGGCTTTGGCCCACAGCCACCAGGACATGAAATCAGAGATTTGGCATCAGGGCCTTCCTGATAAACAGGGTTGGGGGTTTTCTAAAGTCTGTGCTGCCAGGGCCTTTCCTTCCTCGCAGGGATTTCGCCCTTACGATGAGCTTTCGGGCCCTTCTTGGGGGTGTGTCCTTAGGCAGAGCCAGGGAGGTGAAAGCCTGGGCCGGATGTTCCAATTGCATGCTGCCGCGAGCTCTTCAGATCGGGCTCGCTCGACCTGAGGTCCAGGTTTTGGCTGGTTCCTTGTAGAGATACGGCACACAAGCGATAAGAAACCGCGACTTCGCTCATGGCGGACGTAAGGCCAAACTTCCATGCGTCTGACGCTCCACTTCGATGAGCCCTGCTCTCAGCTCGTCGCTGCAGACTTCGAAGCTCTTTCAACAGTTCCGAGGTCTCCCGTGAAGGTTTCTGTGTTCATGAACGGCACCCTGGCACCCTACGGGGAGTTGCGGGTGGAGGTCGGGAAGGGTCGGAAGGCAGTGAAGGAAGCCGTTGCAAAGGAGTGATCTTGTGCTCATGTAGCCAGTTTGAGAGCACGTCTTTATCATGAAATTTTGAGGTTGGGCATTCGTACCCGTGGATGCACCGTTGGGGCTGTCTGATTCGATTTCTTCGAAGCCTTCACATGACTGGCTGCTTTGGAAGCTAAGCAGATCAACTCTGAGCACGATCTAGGCCTTGTGTCGGGGCTAGGGCGAGACATGTAACCGCACTATGTGGCAGGGAAGCTCGGTTTATTCTCCGGGAGAATGGCTGCACATCCTCATAGACGGCGCAGAGCTTCGAAGCTGCAAAGGAAATTGTGGCAGAGCGTGGCTGATGTCCAGGGAGTGCTCTCCAGTGCTCGTGATTTGTTCGACGACACATGGCATGTGCAAGGGATCTGTATTGGAATCATGGCTTCTCATCTCCGTTCAGCCTTCATGCACAAGAGGCGGACGATTCGAGGCATTTGCGTGGTGGCGGAAGTTTTCTTGTCGATTACATGGCGCTTGGAGACTGTTGCATTCCCTGCCCTCAGGTTGCTCTTCGAGTATTCCGGTGACACTGATGTTGACTGGAGCATCTGCCCCTTCACGAAAGTTGATTTCTGGCAGTCCCGAGCTTGCGGTCAGGGCTTGGCATCGTTCTGCTCGCTCCTTCAAAAGAGTGCTGGCTTGCTGCTGCCAGGTCTGGTGCAAACTTGTACCGGCTTCGTGTGCAACGCTAGCCGCCTGGTGCAGCATATCTGGAGGAAGCACGCAGGCTTTGAACGCTAAATTGCAGGATTCAGAGATTTCCAAATGGGTTCCGGAACAGGCCAGAAGATGTAAAGTAGGCGGGTGACCGCAAGCGTGCAAGTTGCTCGCATTACGCTGGAGGGATTCCCAGCTTTCGCGGCGTCTCAACTTTCCAACCCAGGGCTTTCAGGTCTAAGAGACTCTCTGCCACTGAGGCTACATACCGGACCCCACGGCTGTTTGCCAGGGCCTCGCCTGCGATCCCCAGGCGGGACAGGGTGCGGTGGCCTGAGACGCCAAAATGTCTGCGATCCACCGTCTTTCGAGGTGGATCACGAAGTCTGCTGCGTCAAAGAGGCACCAGACCAGACAACGCCCCCTGGCCAAGAGCACTCCGCTAGGCCGCTAGCCCCTCCGGAAGAGCAGAAGAGGAAACAGATGAACTATCAAGACGACCGAAGACCGTGTGCCCGGTGTGTCAAGGTTCCTGGGCCAAGATTACCTCTCTACCACCATGGACATGAGCATCCCTCCCAGCTCCTCGGACTGCTTCAGGAGGGGATTGATCAGGATCTGCTGCGAACTCTAGGCTCGGCGGAGTTGCGATGCTTCTGGGATTTGAGAGCAGCGATTGGCGGTTAGGCGACTGGCTCCACGACATCCTACGGCGGCTGTACGAGGACGACAGCTCCGAGCTGTTTGCCTGCGTGGCACAGAACGATCCACGAGGCCAGCCCTGAAGAGCCCTGAACAGGTAGGTCTGTTTCGACAGAGTCCTGGTCCCAGAACGGTCCACAAACGAAGCCACAGCCACGCATGATGTTGCGGCCAAGCAGCTGCAGAGTGTTTCCAGTCCACAGCTCCGAAGACATCCGCTCTGCTTTGCCTTCCTGCGATCCTAATCCTAGACTCCTCCCGCCTTTGTAAGACGATCTCAGGATGGGGTCGGGTAAGCTTATGGCTTAAGGGTTTCAGGGTTCAGAGGCGAGCGTCGGTTCAGGTTCTGAACTGAGTTAATTCGTGAGGCTGCATTCTGAACTGGTGCAGATGTCGAGCACCTCGCTTTCACCTCACATCGAAGTTAACGTGAATCCGGGCCTGGCTCTGGGCGATTCGAGAACAGAAAGGATGGTGGCATGGGAATGAAACTGGCAGAAAACCGTTTGAAGGCGAGTTACCATGTACGTGAAGAACTGAAATAGCATCAAGCAACGTGGGCGTAAGACTCTGGAACCTGCCCGATCTAAGACCACCTGACTGGTTCTGTTTTTGGCTTCAGGCCTATTCGGGGAGCTCTGCAAAACCTACGTCGCCCGTGCCATCAGCGACGGCTTCAAAACACTACCCACGGGGCCACTTATACTCAATGCCGGGGCCTCCAGCCTGACTGAAGTAGGAATTGGGAGTTCAGGTTCCGGAGCATGGTCTCTCTCAATGGGGCTTACGCGCTATGAGTGGCGATGTCATTTTTGCAGAGCACCCTGAATTACTGGTGCTTCGTGTGGACAGACAAGTCAGGACGAACGAGATCTCGCAAGTCAATCTGTTCGAGTGAGTGACTGAACGACGAAAGCACGGCCCGAGTTCATAGCGTAGAACCGTGAACTCGTCGTGCTAGTAGTCGACATGACCTTTATTGAACCGGACTCTCGGGAAGAGGCCGACAACGCCGTTGCGGACATGGTCGCGAAGTTGCAGCAATTCAAACCACTTCCACAAATCGTGTCTTCGTCTGCAAAGATCGAGAGCCAGGTTGTCTTGGCGAGCAGCCGCAGACAAGCAGCTTACGGATCATCTGCTGCTGGTTTCACGGTCGTCTGTCCTAGAGGTATTTGACAGCTGAAGGCCCTGTGTGCTGGGGATGGGTTCTTGCTGGAGGCCCAGAAACTCAAGCACCTAGGTGCTGATTTGTGCCGATCTACCTATCTTTTCGAGCTTCCTGGCCAGCATCACTTGAACAGTTGATGCCGCACGGGAGCTTCACCACTTGACAAGACAGCGGATGCAGGCTTCCTCTACGGCATGATCACGAATCAGGGTGCTTTCAACTGGGCGCCTTGGCGATGTCCCAACGCTGGACCACTTTGGATCCACGCTACGAAGCGACACAATCCATGGCCACGGCTTTTCTATGCTACTACATGTTTTCCTATCAGTGCGAAGTACCACATGAACTGCTTTGTGCGCACTGCTACCAAGATGATGAATATTGGGTAAACCTGCCTTCCACCAATTGTCACATCCAGTCGAGTTGGGGAAGGATTGAATGCGGATCTGCACTATCTTCCATTGCATTTCTTGGTTCCCAGTCGTGGGGAAAGACTGGGGTCTGATAGGAAGCCAAACAGAGCTATCCGGTTGAACTCTAATACTACATCGGGTCTAAGGTTCGAGTGCAGGAACAGAATGGCCACTTGTGACATGCTCAAAGCCTTTGAGGTTGTTTCGTGAGCCGTGCTGCGACCTCGTTGGAACCTCCAACTCCTTTGTGTGGACGGCAAAATCCACGTGTTCGCGTCGCCGTCCATGCTTCACCCCACTGTAAGTCTCGCCACGCTACCTTTACATTGCAAAGTGCCGACCATCTCTTTCTCATTGTGCAGCTGATCGTGTAGAATGCAGCAAGAGGAAACTACACAGGACAAGTACGAAGTGTGTCAACCCACGATGTTTCATTCTTGTGCATCGGCAGTCGGTCCGCCATCTTATAATAAATAGATATATGTATATGTATCTATATATATATATATATATATATATTTTATTATATATATATATATATTTTCGTAATGTTGCACATGCTCGTCTATCCATTCTACATATATACTAATGTGTTTGTATGTATGTGGATACGTATATGCACGCGTACACGCATGAATGTATGTACACATGCGTTTGTAAGTATGGTAAGTATGTAAGTGTGTAAGTAAACATACCTATAAGCAAGTAAGTAAGTACTGTATGTATGTGAGTAGTATGTACACATGTGCGTGTGGAGCTTTCGAGTGCATTGACGGCCGATATGGCTCGATCCTTGCGTAGTAGTTTAGCATGTTTGTGGTGCCGAAACCCGGCCAGCAGGTTTTGCTACTGACCCGCCAAGCGGATTCATCTTCGCTGCGACCGGAAGAAAATGTACGTATTTATGTGTACGTATGGCGTATACATATATACACACACACATATATATATATATATACGTGTACATACATATACACAGTATTGTTTCATGTATTGCAATCCCACGACAAGCACCACAGGAACAAACAAGCAGCACCAGAGTTCGACATGTTTTAGGCCGCAGCTCTGCAACCTTTGTGGTGTTTTTTTGGCAGGGTCAGTCGTCCATCTTTTTGTCAGGAACATGCCCACCAGCTGTTTCAGCATATGTAGGAACACATACATACGCACACATACATACATGCGTACGCACATACGTACGTAACTACATACATGCATTCACACCTCTACAGCCAGCAAAACACAAATCCCAACGATTCCCTAAATTATAATCAGTTAACTCCTACAAATCCGTAACGGAGGTCCTTTTTGACTCTCTGCGATCCCTGTTATCACGCCGGTGCACTTCTCATTTTTGCATGGTGAATGCTTGTTGAGCAGACGGACTGCGACACAGCACCTGCGCTCCCTACCGTCTTCCCGGGTATAAAGCTGTGCGCCCGGCATTCGGAGCAATCCATATGTTTCCTACAACACCGCATCTTGGCGGCCTTGCGAAGGCGGAAGGTACACCAGCATCAGATGTTTTGATTATCGTGGTTATACGACATATGCCTGCAGAAAACTCATCTGTAGGTCCGTTGCTTCAAAACTACCCACCCGTACTTGTATGTCTTTGTTTTTTCGTCTACGGGAGCTGTCGACAGCTCTTTTTCACGCTGGACTGGTGGTAGAGACTGCCTGCTTGCTAGCACTGCTTGCCATGCGGCGTCCTTTCGCGAGGTTCCCGTGGGCTGAAAGTCTGCTTTGAACGGGCTTGACAGCCCTACGGTCAACCCCCAACGAACCCAAAACCCGTCGACAAAGGGGGTAGTCGGTATTGCTTCAGGTCGTCAGCGCCTTCCCATTCGAGCTGACTCTGCGCTATGTGGTGCCAGGTGTGCTCTGCAGAGTCCGTGGTATGTCGTGTCATGTGCTCGCAGCATTTGCTTGATGGTCTTGGGGACCACTTGTAGGCTCTCGCGTCTCAGCGAGCCTCTAAACGAAGACTAGAGTCACTAGAGCCCTCTCTTCAGCCTACACCCTCTTCTACAACGTGCTGGAGACCGCACCCTGGCCCTCTTGGCAGTATCTCACTGAGTATGCGGAGGATCCATCGGCACCTCGGGCATTTCAGACTTCTTGACTTCTTCTGCTTCTTATGCCCTCAAGCTCCTGCCGCTGCTGCTGTTCCAACTTGTTGCAAGCACAGAGCATGTCCGGCATTTTGTTACCTTAGTTCGGATCGGGACAGTCCTAGTCCGAGACACGAAGGAAAGCAAGAATTGACGGAAGGAAGGCAAGAAGGAAGGAACTCAAGGAAAGAGGGTTCTGGGGTGTTGGGAGGCTTTGGATACCAACGATTGGGTGTGCAGAGACTTGTTGCGTCCGTCGTTGTGGGCCCCGAGATCTCGCTACAAAGGGGCTTGTTTGTTGAAGTTCTCTGGGGCCAGATCGCTTCAAAGACAACCTTCGGAGATGGCCTGGTCTCATCGGGACAAAGTCGTTGCCTATGACAGGCTTGCGCGCTGCAGCTCACACCCCTCAGACAAGAGAAGGAAGAGCTGTTGCAAGCTGGCCTCTCGGTGCAGGCGGCAGGGCTGGGCTCGAGTTGAGGCTCTCTGAAGTTTCGGCAAGAAAGACCTTAGAGGAACGTTGAGCAGCTGCCGAAACTCCCCATCCCGCAACGAAGCTTCTGGTAGGCGGTGCAAAGTGGAGGGCCCGGGGGCCTCACTGCAGGAGCTTCACCTGGCATCAGCTGGGCAGATCCTGGAATCCCTGGTGTGCTCCAACTACAACAACTTCTCCTTCCGGTACATCTCCATGGTCCAGGCCAGGGACCAGGGAGGGGGGGGCCGAGGGCCGAGCTTCTGTGGTGCGCACGATGCCAGGAGATGGGTCCCGGGCGAGACGGTCCGACCTTCTACTTCCCGGAGGACGATGGTCGGCTGGGCTTCCTGCAGCCCCAATGCAACAAGCAAGGGAATGTTGGGGGGGTTGAGCAGGAGCTCACTCTCTCTGAGGACATTCAGGGTCATAGGAGGACTTTTGCAAGCCCTCTTCGTGCCGAAGGTACTTTCTACGCGATGGTATGAGCCAGCAAGGGCACGGGGGAGGACAAGGCGCACCGATTCTTCAGCCAGCATTCGGCTCCATTTTTCGAGCACTTGTGCTTCGCTCTTGATTTCTGCCAACCCGGTGGGCCTCATGAGAAACCGGGCACGTCCTGCTTTGTGATCGTGTGACGAAACATAACCGAGAAACTCCGTGGTACCTGCGTTTCCGTCACTGCGTCACTAGCTCGCATCAGATCGTGGGCTGCAGCGGCTGCGCTTTCTTGTGCGTAAGCCGAGTTCCCTTGAGATCTCTGGCTTTTTCCTGCAGGTGGCTTCGCGACGTCTCTTGGTCAGATCTACTTCGGGAACCGGGGCAGCCGAATCAACCTTGCCAGGTGCGCACATTGCAGTGGCTGCAGCTTCGGGTTCTTGTTTATCAGCATGGCATGACGTGCGACTGTCCTAGATAACAAAACCACATTGTCTGGTGGTCTGGTACAATTCAAGCTTTGTGGTTTCCACGATTTGTTGCAGCCTGTCGACTGGCGGTGGAGTGCTCTTGCGTGATGCGGCCTCAGTCGCTACAATGTCGGTCTGCGCCTAAAAACTTCGAAAATAACACGCGAACATACATGAGACAGTAGCCAAGCTATGCAAGCTGCGGTTCGACTGACTGTCACTCGAGCACGCCTACAAACCTCATCGAAAAGATGTGGAAGGCCGAAACCAAGCGCAAGGACAAAGGAGCCAACACGGCATCTTGCGACCAGCACCGAAACGCGGCTTATTTTGGCATGATGCGGCAACAGCAGCTCTTGAGCTGTCCATCGGCACGAGTATTACTGCTGAAGATAAGGAGCCGCTGGCTCAATCCAGGCCAATATTGCAGTGGCTAATGCGGAACTTTGCAATTACCGCCGTGCTGTGTTTTGCTCTGGATCAAGTCTGATGCGCCAACAAAGAAGAGGCAGCCAGTCTGCTCCCTGCCACAACATGCAAGGCCTCGAGCTTGCAAGGCTTAAACGCACAACTGCGTCCATGTGTGTGGACCTAGATTCAGACAATATGACAACGAAGGATTGAGTTTGTTTCTTGACATGTGAGGTCCGGTTCACGTTTGGACATTTAGGGCCTCCGGACGGCAATGTGGAAGATGCGATTGGGACCCGAATGGCATAGCCGAAAGCAGGAATCCTCACACCCCAAGACTCGCAGACCTTAGCATCGCTGTCGCAGGGAGGACGTTTCTTCTTGGCGGCATGAGCCCTGGCCGCACTTCTTCTTATTCCTCTTAGTGAGTAGCTGCGTGGCAAGGAACCAGATTTCGAGCGGCTTCTACATTCATCAGCCAAGGACATTCTCCCTCCGCTTCAGGACCTGAGAGACTTTCCTGCATGTTTTCCGCGGATTTGCACAAGTTGGCGGCCGTGAACACTGGCCAAGACAGGGGAACCCGCGGAAAGGGATGGAACCCTTGAAGCAACACCTACCCGCCCAACCCCATGGAGGCCGCAGATTGGCACCCGCCGGTTTGGATTCCTGAAACCAGCACCGCACAACAAGACTGCGAGAGAGGCATGTCGGCGCAGGGTTCAGGGTTGCCCCTGGCCCACACGACGCATTGGAAGGAAGGAATGAAAGAGCGAGTCGGGCTTCTCCAGCGGGGGCGTGCCCTCAAGCCTGGCGAAAGAAAGGAGAGCCCCCGACTGTCCTCTGCTGAGGCTTCGGAGGCTTCGGACAGGTTAGGCCGGTAGGCTGAGGCAGTGGTGCAAGGTTCGGTGTTCGGCAGTCGAGGGATGGGAAGGCTTTCAGGTCAGGTTAAAGTGCAAAAAGCTCAGCCAGTGCGCAGGAATCAGGATGTTGAGATCCTCTCCGGGTGGGTGGGGTCGGGGGAGATACCACCCTGGATCTTCGGCGAGAGTGAGAGAGAGTGAGAGAGAGTGAGAGAGAGGGAGAGAGAGAGAGAGAGAGAAAACACCAACGAGGTCAGAGACGCCCGGAGAGTGCGAGGGCTGCTCGTGCTCTTTTGACTGTGCTGAAGGGGGAGAGAGAGAGAGAGAGAGAGAGATCATATTAACAAACATGGCATGTTCGGAGTGCGGGGGGAAGCCAAGCCAGCACGCTTGTCAATAGTCTCACACCGAACACGAACCACGGCGTAGCGCTCGCGCGCAGGGGTGGTAGGGTTCGCCCCTACCCCCCCACACGCCCTGCAAGCGGTCTTGGCAGCGTGGCTGCACTTTACGATACAGGGAAGTATTGTCCATCCATATTAATCCTGAGGAGCTGTGTGCCGCAGCGATGCTAGCTGGATTCGGTAACTGGTAGAAGCTATGCTGTATTTGTTCATGGGAAGGGGCAGCGTCCGAGAGTAAATGATCAATGCGCTCCGCAGCCTGCGTCATGCAGGATTCGGCCCAATGCATGCGGGGCCGACCTGATCTATTAGGAGCCCTAATATGTCTATACGCATGTGACGTCATGTAGGTACACTGGCTTTCTAGAGATTCTGGGTGTCTATGTATGTGTCCAAATAGCTGTAGGCGTTGTTGCGAGAACAGCTGAGAAGGAGTAATGACCCTACGGGATCTGTAGGAAAGGGATGCAAGGTATTGGTTAGAACATTGAGAATCCGATGGGTCAAGAACTCTATGGTAAAAAGAGGACTTAATTTTAAATATACGCCGAAGTGACTTGTAGTGTATAGAATCAAGTTTACGAATTTGTGGTGATGTGAGTAGAACACTGTCCATAGCATAAGTGAGAATAGAGAGAACAATGCTCCGATATACCGTAAGTTTCCAATTCGGCGGGAGGCCGGTATGGGAGAGCAGCGGCCTGAGCAGTTTTGATGCTGCAATCGCCTGGGAATTTCTGTAAGAAGTATTCTTACGATTATTATTAGCTGGGTCAAGATAGACCCCAAGATACTTGACTTCATCTGAGAGAGGGACCGGGGTAAGAGGAGCGTGGATGCCTCCACAATATTTGCACTGGCAGGATGCCTGCGCCGATGGCGCGTAATAGATGCGGTTCGGCGAATGTAAACGCAAGTGCTCGCACTTATCTTCATTGAGGAGGAGGCCCCTCTTAAAAGCCATGGTGTTGTACTGAGTGTAGAAGGCGGTTAAGTTGCTCCGACGAACAAGAAAGGAGAACAGTATCGTCTGCGTATTCTAAGTCCCACAGAGGGGAAGGGACATGAAATACCCCAGATATTTCTCCAAACCTGGCCTGGTAATCGTTTTCTACGTCATGAAACAAATGAGTTAACACAAAACCAAATAGATAAGGAGACAGGGGACACCCCTGACGTAGACCTTTTGTCTGTGTGCGGACGGTAGACTTTTGCGAGGAGTCTCTGACCACGAAGGTAGGGTTATCATAAAGAGCCATAACTACTTTACGGGTGTGTTGCGGGACCCCCACGTGCACCATAGCCGCCTCGATGGCGGTGAAGGTAACGGAGTCGAAAGCCTTGCTCCAGTCTATGAATAGAGCATGAAATGGTGAGTTTTGCCTTTCGTAGACTTCCAGGAGACGGCGAATAATGTGGATAGGTTGTGTGGTAGAGCGATTGTTGCGAAATCCAAACTGTCTGTCTTGGGCGAAAGTTGTACACAAACCTCCCAAGGGCCGTGCTTAATTTAAGCCACGAGTAATCTAATTAGGATAGGTCGGTGCTGATGGGCTAGTAGACGAAAGCCTTTCGCGTTCGAAAAAAAACGCCCTGCAAGCAAGCAAGCAAGATCATATTGGCCCAAGTCGGAACCTACCCCCGGCTTGAGCCACACGACGCTAAACTCTGGTTCGAGATTGTTGTGCGGTGGAACCCCGTTTTCCAAGAATGCGGGCACCACTCTTCAGAACCGCCATGGCATAGGCATGCCCGTGCTCTTTTGCAGAGTTTTTCAAGCACACCCAACTTGACGAGAGACCAACAAAACACCAACCGAGTTCGTCAGACTTGGAGCATGAAAGGGGGGACACCTTGGCGTGGTGTCGTGCACAGGCGTGCCTCCTCGCACGGAAAGCCGGAACCTCGGCCACCGCTGAGGGGAAAGCCGAACCTGGCGACGAGGTTTGCGTAGCCGGCCCACCGATCAGAGTCTTTAAGAAGCGGGTTGCATGTACTTGGTCACCACAAAGAGGTGTGTGACTCCCATGCAAAATCCTGGGGGGGACCGTGAATGATCGCATGTTTTTCCGGCTGCCGCAGCTTTACTTTTTTGAACGCAGGGACCTACAAGTACGACAAGTGCCGAGTGGAGCAGGGCATCACCCGCTGGAGGACAACCCACTGCGGACCAGCCTGAAGACTGCAACGTCGGAGCACTCGCTGCCTTGACTGCTACCCAACCAGAAAACGTAACGGACCCGGACTACCCGGACGCAGCCACCGTTCCGTGGCACGCAGCCTCTCCTGAAGCGGAAGACGGGCCACAAGCTGATGAAAAGACGCACTGAGTGAAGTGAGAAATGTGTAGTGACGCGGGGTACCTCATGAGTGGTCGGCAGCGGTAGAGGGCTTCGGGGACACCACTTGCCAAAACACAAGGTTAAGGGATGAGCGGAACGTCGAAGGCAGTGTGTGCGCGGGGATAAGGCTTCTGTTCGGGATGCAGGCAGGGCTAAGGCAGGAAAGGTGGGTTTTACACAGCGCAGAGGGCAACCGCCCAACAAAAAAAGGGCACCAGCCCAGATGGGAAGACAGAGTGCCCAGGGAACACGTTGTACTAAAGCTCTGTGTGTTGTGGTTTGACTTTCGAGAAGTTGGGCACTCAATTCCCGAAAAGTTCCAGTTACAGCCGAGCCCATTGTGTCAACATGACGCGATGGGGCTGCTCAAAAGAGCGGGGATTAGGGACTGCTTGCCCCCCACGCCCCAGAGCAAAGAAAAGCAAAGCAAAGACAGATAGAGAGAGGCCAGGTCTCCACCGTAAGGCGTCCCGAAACCAACCAAGAAGGGGGAGCTGCAATCCTTGTTCAGCATGGTTTCTTTTTTGAAGTGTTGCTTCCAAACCCGCTCCACCCGGTACCTAAACATTAGCTACGAACACACAAAAGCAATGGCTAGAGACAGGGGGAAAACCTATACTTCCTCGCAAGCTTGTGGATGTCATCGAACCCCCGACCCTCGGGTACTGTGAGTATAAGCTGTTTATTTCAAAAGGCTGGCACATCGTGACACTCGCAACAACGTCGTGCAGGATCCTAGCCTAGTTCTGAAGCGCCCGGAACTTAGTGCAGTGTAACGGCAATGTACCTTGATGGTCTAGTGTGGAGCTGCCCACGGGGATGGGGCCGGGATGCAGGATCTAGTGTTCAGGGGGGCATGGGTCAACGACGGACAGACGGTACCAGCTACACCGAACGAAAACATCCAACCCCTAGCGTTCAAGCCCCAATGCTCCTTCCACCGAAAAAAGGGGAAGGGGGCGCCTCGCCGCGGGCTCGTGGGAGTTCTACCCCTGGGAAGTGGAGTGAAGAGACAGAGAGAAAGAGACAGAGGCAACTCCCCACCTCAGCCCAAACGAAAGAAATAGAGAGAGAAAAATAAAGAGAGAGGGGAAGACACGAAGAGGGAAAGCTGTTCGTTCTCCTCAGGTGAGTCCGTGTCGGCCCCGGACTCCTGGCTCTACAACCAAGCCCGCTTCAGCATCAGTGCCTCGAGCGGCCTCAACATAGTCACATAGTCTGTTCTCAAAGAGTTTTGCTCTTGCAAGATCTCTGGTGCTCGTAGGGTTTCTCTTTTCGTTTTAGGGCTTCTGTGAAACTAAGCGGCATGGAAGCCCAAAATGCTCGGCTGAGGCATGCCGAGACGCTTGGTTGCACACAGATTCTTCCGCCCGTTCTGTAGCCTCCTGCCGTGCGGGAGGAACTGCTTGTGCGGTCTCCAGAATGGCTTGGATGGTTGTGAGTTGCGAGCGCTCTTCACTCTTCCCGTTAGGCCCTTAGGCCTCTTCTAGGCAGCCTCCATCCCATTCCTAGGGGCTGAGGAAAATAGGGGCCCTCCGAATGTCGTATGGCAAGCACCTGCGTCAATGAAGGCAGCATCACGGAGCCTGTGCTTCATGCGCAGTTGTGGCCGATGGGTCGAAGCTTGGGTGAGCAAGCAGTCTGTGGTTCTCCAAAATCGGAGTCTGCAAGCAGAATCCTACAACCAAGGAAAAGTCTTGGGCACATATCCCTGTCCGGTCGGATGCAGAGAATCTTGTTTGCTCAAAGCAGGATTTGCATTTGTTTCTCTAGCTCAGTGACAATATTGGGTTGATGCTTCATCGAGACTATAGAACTCCTTTGTGAGAACTTGGTCATCAAGCATCACCGTGCCGCAGATCGGCATGCAAGCGAGGTTTCTGAAGCTTAAGCTGTACATCGATATCAAGCGAGCTTCAGTTCTACCTCATGTTCTACCTCATGTTGTTTCCTTTCCTATCTTTGCGCAGACCATCCGATGTGCAGAAAAAAGTGCACGTGAAACGTGTAGCACAGCTGTAAGATGTGCCGTACACCGTACAGCCGTACACTCTATTCTTTGCAGCACGGTAGCACATCATCTCAGGCAACGAATCGCTACACCTGTTCAGCCTGCCGGCCTGGCACCTACCGTCCGTCTGGAGAGACGGGATGCGTGCCGAGCCTTGGCTACAACCACCTACGGGCGAAGCACAGCGGCATAGCGTCGACGGTCATTGAGAGTCTCTAGGGTGAGCAGAGGTGCACGCAGCTGGCCAGCGACGTGTTCCAGGCTCTGGCGATGTGGATTTCATCGCTGCGTCGCACCTGTATACTGTATACTTGGACCTCACCCAAATTCTGCAACCCCCTTCCCCCACCTCCCAATGTATCCACCACATGACGAACCAAGCTTGATTTCCGATGGACACTGCCGGTGGGCTCGGGTGGCGACTTTCGGACATTGATGAAATGTCACGGTCCTCGTGACAGTTGTTGTATGTGTAGCAAGCATGCATGCATGTATGCATGTGACAACAAGCTCTGCAGTCGTGCGCGTCTCTCCCCTGACCTATGCCATGACCTATGTTCACTGCGGCCTCTATGGGGTGACAGGGGGCCCTCTTGAGTTGTAGCTGCTGTTACGCGTGAGTGAATGGTTGCTTTCGTTGCCTCTCCGGGAAGCCATAGCTTCGTCGCATGTATGCATGTCTGTACAGTTGATGCACAAGTGCAGCTTACATGTAGGATGTGTGGGTGCGTGCCTAAATCAAGATCTTGATCGCCTTCATCTGACTCCATGGTAGTTGTCTGGCCTTCAGTTAAAAGAAAGAAAGCCTGCCTCTAATCTACGCATGTAGACCTTCCTGTAAGCCGGAACAGGATTCCTGGGCTGGGGCGATGTGCTTCAAATGCCCAGTCGGGGCATTCTGCGATCCCAGCCTCCCTGCCCAGGACCTCTGCTGTGGTAGTAAAAATGCAAGGAGCAGCGGGAATGCCCTCGTTCTCGAACGTATTTTCTGAAAGGTAGTTGAAGCCACCAAAGCCAGAGCATGGCAGCAACATCATATTCTGACCTTTGATAGGTGCCGGGCAAGACGTGCATGAACACTAGTCCAGAGATCGCATGTACCACTCCGTTCCAGGAGCCGATCGCCTTGCCTGGCTGCTCGGCTCCGCTTAGAGTTGTGCTATTGCTACCGTCGATTTTCCCTTGCTGTGCTAGCGATAGATATCCTTGTGGTTGCAGTATCTGGATGGTGGTCGTGTGTGCTCGCAGCTCCGCAGTCTGAAGGCGAGAGAGATGTTTGCCAGACCCTCTGCATGTTTTCCTTGCGCGGCGCTTTGTTGAGTTTCGGCCCCTGATGCTGTCGTTTCTGCCCATGAGGTTTCTTTCGCGTCGAAAACCATACCTACACGGCGATGCTCGGTTTGGGTGGAGCTATCCGGAAGCTTTCCTTTGTAGGATCCCGGGACAGTTCCGAAGTCGGGTCCCGTGCCTCGGTTTGGCCTGCTGTGACATGGCAGTCCAAGGAACTTCGGGAAGTGGTCGGTGGAGTCGGCCTGCAGCTTTAGCGAGGCCGCCGTTATATTTGTGCAGAGTCAACGCTGCGAGTCGAAACACATGCTGGCTGAAAACAACCCCTGCCAAAGATGCCAAAACCATCAATGGTAGCAGTAGTAGTAAGTACTAGTAGTAGCTGCAGTGGCAGTGGCAGCAGCAGCAGTAGAAGAGTGTTGAAGTAGAGCAGAAGTGTTAGTGCTAGTAGTAGTCGTTGTCGTAATGGTGTGGGTGTTAGTGCGTGTACTTGTAATGCGTGAATATCAGTAGCAATAATCGTAACTGTTCGATCCGTCACCATCGGCATCAGCATGACCATCGTAGATCACGCAACCAATGTAAGTCCTATGCACCCGAGCCTTCGGGTAGGGCCTGGCAGACGCCCACGCAACCGAGCCTCGGCGAAGCACCTGGATTTTTTTGGTCGTTCTAAATCAACGGACCATAGGCTTGATTGTTGTAACGGCTTAAAGGGCTTGTAGTGTAGCACACTTGTGTGCGAAGTGACAACTCTTTGATTGCATTCTTCAGCCGATCTACTTCGAGGATCGACATGTGTTGATCGATCTGAATCCATGTATTTTCTGCTGCCCTTTTGATTCAGGAATCTGTTTCTGTGAATTTCTCTTCTCCTCGACCTTTGTCGATCTCCGACATTCAGCGATGGCCAAGTTGGTCCAAAATACGAAAGTTATGTCCGTCGAGGAGAAGAAAACCCGACTATGTCCTCGGACCAATTCTTCCTGCTTGCACCCCGACTTGGTCAATGGATCCTGGGTTGTCCCCGATATCCTTTGCACAATGTGGTTCCAGGGAGTCTGCCAGTGTTCCCATCATTGTTGGAGTCGGCTTGTGCAGCATGAGTGCAGCTTCGATGAAGCCACGAAATCTGTTTTCCAGTAGCAGCGAGAACTTGGAGGCAGAGACCGACGTCCGTTCGCCTACAGTTCCACGGACTGTGGTACGACCAGGCAGGTGAACCTAGTTGAAGGCGAGCAGTTCATCATAACCAGGATGGCTGACTCCGGCAGGAAGGAAATGCGGGAAGTTCAGTTCGGCACCAACTCCTGTACCGCGACTACCGCCGATGGAACCAGACGAGGACGGTCACCGCGAGTATATTCCTGGCCGCCTGTAGCGTCGTGGGCCAACGCACGAAGCGAGGTCGGCTCAGGCTTCGGAAGGTCCTGCTTCGTGGATATCGAGACCGTTCTTCAAGTTGTCGGATGGACACGGACTTCCGTCCAGGCAAGACCGAGGAGCCACACCCACTTTGAGACCGAAGACATTGGACAGTCGCCAGATCACTTGTTTGTGGCGGAACGTGGCTTACTACCCCGACTGCCACTCCAATCATTACTGAGGTCATCGATGCTGTTGACGAGACATGGCCCTGGGCGCTGCCTGGCACCTTCCGACGGCGACTTGGATCCTCTTTTGCTTCTATGCGGCACAGTCGGTGCACCGGCGGGGTGGATTTGCGTCCTGTTGGGCGCACCTAGTCGATGCGTCCATCCTCGACAGACTCCATGAAACGGTGCTGTACAAGATCATGGCACTTTGGAACAACAGCCGCTTACCTTCCGAACCTCCCCCTCGGCATAGCTACCGCGACTATATGCCACAATTTTCCTGGACTGAGCGCCTCGAATGGGCTTTACACAGAGGCACCAATCGGACACCGAAACAGCTCACGATGACTCGCTGACTCAGATCACCGTGTTGATTCACATCCTCCGATTACTACTGCAAGCGGAGGTTGGCGATCTCTCCAGAGGCTACCCGTCATGGGACAGCCAACCCCAGGGTAGATTGGCATGTCAGACCGGACCTCAACTACCACGACCCGACCTTGATGGACGACTTTGAAGTTGGGGACAAGATCTGCTCCTACATCTTGAAGAAGGACGACGTCGATGAACAGTGGGAGTCCATGGTGAACAAGATCCACGGGAGGTAAAGATGGGACTCATCCACAAACTGCCTCGCCAGGACCCCTCATCGCTGTTATTGGTTTGGAGGCACGACCGCGACGGAGGATATCGACAACTACGCAGTCGTGATCCTCGACATGCAAACGTGTTGTTGCTCACGCCGCAAGGTCCAACACTGTGGAGGAGCCGTACTCCTGTTCGGATCCGCAGCCAGCATTTGGTCCACACTACGTCGGAAGCTTCATGCAGTCGATGACTGCAGAGGCTGGTTCGAGATCTGCGTGCGGCCCAGCAAACGACAACCGCCCAGAGTTCAACAACTGGTGCAAGGGGTGCTCATTTCCCTCGAACGTGAGTTCCTCATCATGTGTGGGTTGGCCGATGGCCGAGATCAGATGCTCGATGAGCAGATGCATTTTAGCCCGTGGGCGATTTCCAGTCGAGAACATGAGGAAGAAGAGAAGGGTGGGCCGGGGGGGGGGGGGAAGAAAACCCCAACTATTTCACATGAATGCTTTGTTTGTTTGGCCCACCACACGCCTCCTCGATCTGTACGTGTGGTGTCCGCCCGGACCCAGATCTCATCGGAGGGCGAAGCCACGTTGGAAGGGTACAGAAGAAACGAGAAGCAGAGGAAGGGACGATACATCAGCACGAGATTGATTTCAAGCTGTTTTCACCGAGCTTCCGACAGTGGGGTCCTGCATGTATTTTCGCGCGCCACTGTGTCTAAATCTAAGCGCCAGACATTGCCTTCATGAGCATTACACACGCCTTCTCACCCCGTCTTCGGTCTATTTAGCAGTGGTGAGGCTCCGCACTGGCCCGACACACCAGCACAAGAAGATAGTTCATGCAGCCACCGTGTTTCTTGAATCCGCAGCAACCTGAAAAGTTGCACAACGTCATAACGAAACTGTGCGGTGCAAGAAAGGACACATGCAGCATTGCAGCATGGAGCAGGCAAACTGCAGCGACATGTAACATACCAGAGTGCGCAACCATCACAACTTGAAAAGCAGCATGAACAAACCCTTTTAAAGCACATTCCATACAGCGTGCGGTCACAATTGTCGCAGGCACAAATGACCAATGGGAACACATATCGAAGGAGAGTTGAAACTTCTGTTCAACACCGCATCCTCCAACGGCTGTGTCAAAAGTAGAATCTGTTCATGTAGATGGCACTGGGTGCCAAAATTTCGGTCGCACCAATGCTTCAGCTGCTTGTTTATCCATGCTTTGGGGTAGCCCCCTTGTATCTCCAGCAGTTTGCAAAACCCACTGAGCGAGTGCATCATACCCCGCTGGTCGCTCGCAAGGTGGCGACAGCGTGCAAAGCCTCCCTTGGCAATAGCCTCAAACACCTGCTGGGGCCCGTAGGAGCACCATGGGACCACAGCCTGTTGGCATCTTTTGCCATAGAGCAGCGTCTCTCCCAGAGTTTTGTTGTGCGCATGCCAGTGTAGCTGCCCCTCACGTACATGGACGTCCATTCCCACTGTAGGGTTGACACTGTCGTCTTTGAGCTTCAAATGGTTCGGGTATGTGAGGTTGAGGATGAAATCGGAAACAGCACGTGCCCACACTTCACCTTTGGTGAGAGGAAATACCAACAGCACGCGCACATCATCAACGAATCTGGCAACACGGAATGCGATGTCCGGGAATCGTTGTAAGAGCTGTGGCCGGTAAGATGAGAGCATCATCTTGATCTCATGGGCCACCAGAACCATCCGAAAGATAGATCCTCCCGCTCCGATTCCCATCATAACGCCTGCTTGCTGCCAACCTTTAGCTTGACCAAAGACAAACTGCATGTTGTCAAACACGAAGACCAACATAGGAGCAACCTCTTCAATGGATACGACAACCCACGATTTGCCTGATTGTTTGGACCACGAGGCGAACTTGTTGGGTCCAAGAATACCCGAAGTGACACAAGGGTTAACCCATGCCTTTGTAAAGCCCATTTCGCGTAAGAAACCCATGACGAAATGCCATGCTGAAAGGGCTTCGGGATGACGCATTCGCATGAAGCCATTGTCGACGTCTTTCGAAACAATCAAGATACCATAATTCTGAAGGCATGCGAGCGGTACCTCAGTCCCCAACGGATTCTCGTTGATGTCCTTGAAAGTTTCAATCATGGCACTGTGTGTAGAGCGGTCAAAGTGCAGATGGCACGGGAGGCTAGCCAAACAAAGGTCCAGGAATCTAGCCAAAATACGGCACATGATCGCAGTAGGGTTACAAGATTGATCTCCCAAAGGTCTGCCAGCCAAGACGTTCTTGTTTTTGGGGACCACGCGTACACGACCCCATGATGGTTCACGTCCTGCCAGCATGGTTCTCCAGAGTCTGTGGAACCGCTGGTTTAAGCAATGTGGTTGCAGTTCCTCGCGCAAGTTTGGAACAGCGATTGTTGCAATGTCTAACCACACACGATCCAGCACATTGAAAGCAAAGTGTTCGCCTTCCTCGCGAGTCAGGGAGCCCAACGCCTAGTGATCGCGATGGTGCCCAGGTCGACCGTGAGTTTGATGTGGAGTTTGACTCCAACGACTTACCCCAGAGGAAGCCAAGAAGACGGCGGGCAAGGTCAACTTCCTGACGGGCAGACATTTCGGCAAGGTGGGCCGAGTCGAGCACCGCTCAAAGCGATTTACGCCCGAGCCAGCTCCAGCACACACGTCGTTGACAAACCCGCTCGACCCGTTTCGTGGCTTTGCAGGACATCAGCCAACATTGCGGCCCATGACGATCGCCAGGATCCCCGTGACTTCCATGTACAGTGCCTTCCCACTTGCGTTCGGAAGACTCCGTGAACATCGAGAACGGATATCGGCAGTCTGCTTCCACCAAGGCGATGTACCAGCCACCGCGTACTCTCAAGGACGCCTACCAACGATCCTTGTGCGACACTCCGACCTGGTCGAGGCGACAGCAGCAATCTTGGCGCCGATAGTTTTCGAAACTTGGTTGAATCAGTTCTACTTGGGTGTGACAACGAGGCCTCCCGGCACGCACTCAAAAAAGGCGTGTAAGCATAAGCCTCTAAACTGCCTTGCGGCGGCCCACTGGATTTGGCATAACAGAAGGGGGTCTCGCTCACCGTCTCGAGCGTGTTCCCACGAAAGCGAACACTCGCCGATGCACTCAGTTTCTTCGAGAACTCCGAGCAGTCTCATCATTGACAAGACATTCGCTCCATTGGAAACGATCGCTAGCAGAGCCATGAAGAATATGAGGGATATTTAGGTATTGCCATTAGCCACGGCTTTTCCAATATCCCCGACCCAGTAGTAAAGTCTCGTGGCATTCGCTTGCGATGGACGCGACGTGACGCGACCACCACCGATGGGAAACGGTCGGTCACAATCGCGACAGACATTTCGGATCTAAATGCGAGATCCATCGATTGAAGACGTCAGATGAAGTCGATATCGGAGACCATACCACCGATGCGAAAGCAGTTGGAAAAGAAGAATGCCGCAGGGATCTATAAAATCAAATTGAAATCTTTCATGGTCGTGTAACACTGTTGTGTGCGAAGTGCGAAGTGACAGCTCTTTGCTTTCATGCTTCAATAGATCGGCTTGCAGGATCCGCACTTGTCGGTCGTTCTGAATCCATGCATATTCCGTTGCCATTTTGGTATAAGAATCTCTTTCTGAATGATTTTCTTCTTCCTCGCTCCCGACACCGGTTGTCTTCCGTTTTTCCGGAGGTTTCAGTTTGTGGGCACCGACCGGGAAACGGTCGTCCTCAGTTTCTCGATAGAGATTTCGGATTGACATGCGAGATCCGTCGATTGAAGACATCGGATGACGTCGATATCGCAGACCACGCCACCGATGCTAAAACAGTTTGAAAAGAAGAATGCGTCAGGGATCGATGGAATCAAATTGAAAGTTGTCAACAAAAGTTATAGGTTTAGGAAGATGTTCAGTGGTGTGCGTTTTCGATTCAGGAGATGGCGAGCCCGGGCCCAAGTGGTGCAAGGGTTCCAGCATTCAGCTTGGCATCACAGCAAGTGAAGGTCTTGAGCACTTCCCAAGTGTAGGCTATAGGGCTATTGCGATTAGGCTTTTGCTCATTTGGACTGGGCAGCCGGCCCCGTCTTGTCGGAATCGGTTTCAACTTCTTGCGGCTT